TGCATGTATACACGAAGGCCGTTCTTCATGAACAGAGTCAGGGACATCTTCTGCTCCACACGGTGGCCGGGAACCAGTGACAGCCGGTAGCGCAGCAGCACCGCCGACGCCACAGACTTCATTTGAAGGTAAGCCAAGTCCTTCCCCAAGCAAGTCCTCGGTCCCGCATTGAACGCCACAAACATATACCCATCTTTTGGTGCCTCGAACTTCTCGCCCTCCGGTTACAGCCACCGCTCCGGCCTGAATTCCATGCAATCCTCCCCCAATATAGTCTTCATTCTCCCCACTGAATAAATGGAACACGTCACTGTTGAGCCGGTGGAGACAAAAGTACCATCCGGTAAGACATCATCCTGTATAACGTACTTGAAGTCCTCCGGGGCTGATGGGTATAAACGCAGAGTTTCGGCTAATGCAGCTTTCAGATACACCAATCTATCCGCTTCGTCGAAATCCAAAGGTTCTTCGTGCCATTTCTGTTGATCATAGCCGCGGATCTCCCGAAGGACACTTGAAATCTCGCTGATAATCTTCTTCTCGATCTCCGGTTGGTTCATCACGAGCCAGAAGAACCAGCTTAGGGCTACTGAGGAAGTGTCGCGTCCGGCAAGGACGAAGTTCAGAGCAATCCGTTGGAGAACAGAGGTTGGAAACTGATCACCGTTAACATCTCTTTTTTCTCATAAAACGGGATAGTAAATCATCTGATGGATTTTCTTTGGGCGCTTCGACGGCGTCATTCATGTAATTGTCAACGATATCGAGGCTCTGTTTCAATTTTTTCTCGGTTCCAATCTCTAAAAGTTTCTGCAATCTCCATTGGAAACCAGGGTAAAGAAACCGGTACAGAGTCGCCTTCGTAGTGGTGTCAAACGCGATGGCGAACCAATTCACCGGTAACTCAGGTGAAAGCGTTTCTGGGTCTTTCCCGATGTGAGCCCACAAATGTTATCAAACATCAATCGGAGTAACAAATCCTGCAAATCTACAGCTCTGTTTTCCTCCGCGGCCTTATCCAAAATACGCCACAATCGCTTCTTAATTGTCCGGTTCACCACCGCGCCATGGCCTGCCTTAGAGTCCTCGTCGTGAACTCCAGCGCCGCCGTCTTCCTCTGAATCAGCCATGTTTCCCCGTCGCTGTTGAAAATCCCCTCCCCCAAAAGATCATGGAAGGCCTCCTGCCACCGTGGTCCCTTGGGGTAATTATCAAATCGAGTCCGAAGAATGTGCTCAATGTTCTTGGGAGGCATAGCGTACAGGTTTGACACGTGCAGGTGCCACTTGTTAAGATCCATCAATGGTTGGATGGGTTGCTTGCAACTCCGCTTGAATCTCATCCAACTCCTCATTGAATCCGTCTTTGAAACTCGCATATAACATCTTGTTTCTCATTGTAGTCACAAAATTTGAAAAATTTATATTGATTTGTAAAATAATAAATATAAATTACAATGAATTTGAAACAAATGGGAAACAATCTCTAGTTTGGGAGTGTTACAATGCACTCGCTCGAATTTTAAATGATGGCACATTCCGAAATAACATGATGACAATTGAATTTAGAAGGGCAAGTGCCTTAGCTTGATCTTGTTATTTGGGGATTTGAGATTTGTCTTTGAAAATTTTCCTCCTTGGTAGAGAGTTGAAAGTTTGAAACCTTCATTAGTTGGGACTTGGAACTTTGAAAATTGTTGAGAGGCTTTTAGCTTGCTATTCCTCTTCTTTTCTCCTTCTTCTCTTTTCCCTCTTTTTCATCAAGTGAATGGCCTATTTATAGCCAAAGGAAACTTGCCAAATGACCTCAAATACTGTTCACTTTAAGGATAATTTAATCATTTTTTAACTAAATTTAACTTAATTAAAGATAAAATTTCTCTCTAAAGATTTATCACCCAACTTCCACGATTTTATTGTGGTAAAAACATTTTAATTTCAAAAGCTATTTTATGTCTGCACTCACCTGTGATTGATATATAAGGTCCTCTACAACATACATTATAATTAAATTTTGGTATGTCAATTAATTTATGTATTTACAACTACATATCAGTGAAAATTAATCAATCAATAATTACCTGGCAATGAAGAAGATTTTGCTTTTTTGGCAAATTTCATTCATGCTGAAATTTGTTTAAGTGGGACAACTTCACATTGAATATATAACAGAGAGGGTCACTCCACTTATAGTTAATTGATTTTAGGTTGTATACAAGTTTTGTTAATTTTCACAATATCAAAATCATAGGCTGCATAGCAACATTCCTTCTCCTGAAGAGAACAAGTGAAATCTTAGTATGGGATTCCTAAGGTTGTCCCGGCTTGTCTATCACGCCCTGCTGGTCTTGAATCTTGAAGCCAATGAATAGGTAGGTGCTCTTTGCCTTTAGCTCCAAAACTTGAGAATTTAACAGTTTTCATGGGCTTAATTCAATAATTGATCTATTAGCTATTAGTCTAATTTTATTTTAGTCTTATAAGTTAATTTTTTTTTAAATAGTCTCTAAACTTTGTAAAATATTTTAAAATAGTCTACCATGCAAAAATTTTATTAGTTTTAATAAAAAAACAGAAAAATTAAATCAATATCAAAATAGAGTAATTCAATTAGCAAAGTAGATCATAACAGACTGTGCTAGCTATGAAAACATGTCAATAATTACGGTTTTTGTTACAAATATTTCTGTTATAAAGGAGAATTGTCAAAAGGGAAAGCTAAAGCAATATGCGATAAAGATTATAGTTCTTCAAACAGTTAAAAAGTACTTACCATTCTCACAAAATTAGTTTTATCATTAAATGAATTTCAATGAGTAAAAATTCATAAAAGATATAATTAAAGGTCAATTTAATCAAATGGAGTGAAATTGTTAGTAAAGAGCTAACTGATTAGAGTAAATTGAAATAAAAGTGAAAAATAGTAGATAAATCTAAAAATATTTAAAAATAGTAGATGAAACATATAAAAGTTACTTAAATTGTTTATTAAATTAAGACAGTTGTCATAAATAATCATTCGAATTTCTAAATATTGAATTATATATTTTAACTATATATAAAATTACTATAACAATAAAACTATTCTTAAATTCCTAAATAAATACTCAATCGGCTTTAAAAAAATTATCAATAAAAATACCTAATGAGCTTAAAATTTTTAAGATAAATGATATATAAAAAAAATCATCAATAAATCCCCACTGAATTTAAAATTTCAAATAAATACCTAGCGTTATTAACTATGAATTAATATAATGGCAAAATATATCTAAAATACTATGAGCAAGAATTATTCGAACAGAAATTTACTAATAATATTAGTAATAAGAAATAAATCTAAAATACTAAGAATTATCATAACATAAATTTAATAATAATATTAGGAAATAAATCTAAAATACTTCACTCAGACTATCTATATATATATATAATGTTACTCTATGCATTTATTTATTTTTTTTTAAAAAAGTATTTGGATTTTTGCTTTTTCTGGCGACATATTGTGGAGAAATTGATCGTAGAAAATATGGAGCAGACGTGGAAGGTAATGTGGGTCACGTGACCCAGGCAGAATGTGGAGGTGGGCCAGTGTGATCTTCTCTTGGGCCGATAAAAATTTGTGGAGAGCCCGCCGGGTCTCCCGTTCATTAAAACTATACATGTCACCTCTTCACTTTACTTCCCCCTTGTTCTTTCTTTTCTTTTCACTGCATCCGGCATGCTTTTTTGTCTCTGCTAAAACACATCAAACATTTTCCATTTTGTTAAACAACATCTTTTATTACAAATTAACCTCATTTCTCTATTTTTTTTTAAGAAAAAATGATTACAGCACCTTGTTAGGTTTATGAACTTTAATTAGTAGTACCACCAGTACTTTAACTAAAGTTAATAATACTAAAATTCATGTTATATATATATATATATATATGTGTGTGTGTGTTGTTAACAAGTGCATTTAAGGTTTTAAGGTTTTGTTCCAGTGAAGCTCATTCCATACATAACCACATTATTAGGGATCACCAATCCTACTTCATTTTTTTGTTTGGCCTTGTTAATTTTCTTCAGTTAATACCTCAACATGGTTTTTTAATGAGTTTTTTTAACTTGTATTTTTAT